CCTGACATATCATTCTGTTTAGAGTACCCATATTATAATGCTCATAATTATAACCTAATGGAACTTCGATGCGCGCGGTTAAAACTGTAGAATTGTCCACAGTCCCTCCACACTGTTGAGAGACTGTGAATTGTCAGAGCAAATCAAGGGGGTGTGTTTGTAGCAAATAATGTGTCAAGGGGTGAGTTTGTAGCAAATAATGTGTCAAGGGGTGAGTTTGTAGCAAATATGGCGTCTGGGGTATGCCGCGAGACATTAGCTGTCTGATATGTCACAAGACAGTTATATTACAACGCAGTCCGTGCAAAATATAGTTAAATGTCATTGAAACCAATTACAAAATTGATGCTGTCACGTTTCAACCTTTTATTTGCTACAATCAGATTATCCTAGTAAAATCAATCGATTGCGTAATCTTTCGTGACGTCATTCACTATTAACTAATACTTGACAGCATAATTGCTATTTTCAATAATTGCACTGACTGCTGATTAATATATTCAATAATTGAAAGTAAATTTAATTGTTTTTAGCGTAATCACGTGGTACGTGTAGTGTGGTAAACACTGTGCATTAAACTGATTCATTTAAATAAGCGTTTTAATAATAATTTGGAAATATCTTTTGAGTGATACTTTAGCATCGGATATTGTATACGAACGCTCTTCGAGAATATCAAATTGTCTGTATGCGTCATCGATAGTTTATGGAGGTCTAATCACTGAAACCTGCACAAATTCAGACAATGAGCAAACTACTTAATACCCAAGAGATTCATTGAGAAAAAAGAAGCATTTCTCTGAATAAACCTATTCGAGTTTATGACGAGATAGTCACGTGTCATTTGGCACAGTTTGTCATTCGAATTATGCATTTGTAGAGAAAAATCATTTCTAATGTCTCGAACGAACGGTTATAAAATGTATCACAAGATTTTATCCCGCCGTGGAGGCAAATATCACGAGAACAATTACAAAATGTGATCATTATCGTAAATATATAATAAATTAATTTTAATGTAGGCAAAAGTGGTCGGACGTGAACATTACTAGAAATGTAACAATGTAACTGTGTATAACTCAAACACGCATTTCTTTGCAGAGTCCAGTTGTGAATTCCTCGAGGAAATTCGTGGCGAATGGATTGGTGAGCAGACGACACTTGTCATAGGTCAAAGGTCGTACAATGAATCCGGTTTCCATAACAACGGTGATAGACAGGTCGTGATAGCACAGTGTGAAGAAAAAAGTGGGGATATATACCTACTTTCGACAACTCCAATTGATATTGGCGGGTGAGTAGAACCACTGAAATCATGAACGCGAGTCAAAATGAGCCATTTTAATACATCGACAGGTGACATGTGACCTGCGCACATACCACATCTCTCTCAGCGTAATTGACGCTAAGGGTGATGACAGAACTTGACAACTTATACATATCCAAAACATTTACCGAAACTTGTCTTCCTGGATGGAAGCGGCAATGGATGGATGAAGCGGCAATAACTGTTGTTTTGAAATTTTTGTTTTGGTTTAAGTATAACCACAAAACGATGATCAAATCTTGCCGAAATATTTTGACACAATTGCATAGGAAAGTAATCCTACAGAAAGCTAATAAAATGCGATGTAAAAGCTAAGGTTCGAGAAGTCATCATTTCGTTGAAATCGGTCACGTGATCATGGTTACCGTAGAAAATTACGACGCGTCTCACACTGCTATGGGAATTGACACATAACACATCAGTGAGAAACTGTCAAAACGAGACTTAGCCTTTTAAGATGGCACACAGGCACCCGGTAAGTTGTCATCTTGTGAACTAGTCCCGGAAGTTTGCTTGACAAAACTGGATTTCAATAGATGTCGCCCTATAGAGACCTAGACGCAACCCCGCGACCATCTTATTCATGATCACTTGCAAATGATTTACAAGTATTGTACAACGTCGGTATAGAGCGTATATGCTATGCTTTCATCAGTGTTCACATTTCGTCGATGACCATTGTAATGGCCATTTGTGTATTTAACAAATTTACCACAATCCCTATCCCATGTCGTACAGTTATCTACTTCTAAAATAAATTGAATTTATATTGGAAAACAGTAAGTTTTCTAACTTTTCTAAAAGTGGCGTACTTTAAGTTGAATGTATCTGGTGGAATGCTAGTTTACGATCAGTTTCTTGATAATATTAACTAGTTTTTTCTGGGTTTTTTTTCAGAGTCATTCATTGCGGTTACCTGTGCTGGTCTTATTTCAAAGTCAATCACAATTTACTACATATTTACGCAAATTTGAGTACGTATTACTGAGTGTATCTACCATCACTGAATACTTACCAGTTTATTACTTCTTCAGAATTCGTTAGATCCTGTCATTTAACATGTTTAATTTTTTTGTTTAGCTTTTCTCCCATGTACTCGTGGCACTGTGACGGCCTGTTCTCAGTCTCTCAACACTTTTCCCGAGCCACCTGAAGAAGGCTTTATTGGCAGCTTTCGTAGTAAGTCACGCCTGCTTGAATTTGTGTATTTTAACTGTTTTTTGTTGTTTTACTCAAAATATTTAAAATGCATCATTACTGGCAATCTGGATTTTCAAGGTATAATATTCCAGCTTATTGCCACTGTCTGTTCATGGCATATAGCTGTATGAAACGTTTCAAGCGGGCGATGCATTACTCGATGGGCACTTTTAGTCCGCTCCATGTAATTGTACACATATTTGTTTTGTAACGCCCTCTAACTCCGAGTTGTCATTCCCGCACTTGACGAGTTGTGCGTGTAGTCAAGTCTGGATTTTAAAAAGATTGTACACCAAGAATTTCAACTGTAAATATCAACAAATTCGGACAAATTGTCTGCTTGGGGGAAATGAAACTCGCGCAACTCAACGTTTCATTCACACTTTTCAAATCTGTAGTGTACCATCCCTGACCAATATACACACCATAACTTGTTGATATTCTGGAGGATAATGAGAAATTAACTGCAAAATATGAAATTAAGATTTGTGTACAATACACACTCAGGTAGTTACGAACTTCGTTTGCCTATGAAAGCCAGTTAGGTTATAAGATAAGATATTTGGAACGTACCAATGAAATCTTGAGTAATGTCCAATAATAATAACAACAAAACAAAACATTATTCAGGACAACAAACATATCAATAGTATAGAAAATAAATTTTGCAAACATTCTAAGAATGAAAGAATCATTACTTGAAACAATAATAAGAAACACATCATGCTAAAATCTTCCAACTTTGGGGCATAGATGTACTGGGCTGCAAGGAATCTAGATCTATGTTCTTTGACTTTTACAATTATTAAAATATAAAATATAATTATTTCTCAACCCTCTACTTCATTGCATTCATGGAGATTACATAGCCTGTTTCCTTCAAAATACTTCCATGTCTACTGGATTTAATGGGAAAAGAATGTGCGGAAGTTCTAAATTTAGTATAAGCTATTGTATGACTGTCCATGTTCTCAGTATACGTAAACAATCATTCTGGTTGTAAAAGCGCGGCGCGTGTTCAAATTTCCTGTGAACAAATAGTGTATTTTACGCGCGTTGTATACGTCGCTATGAGTTCCATATCGAACAGGACGCGGTGAGACGATCACCGCCTTTTTATATGTACTCGCAAACGCTACAAAAAATAACCAGTACATATACACTAATTGAATTAATTACATATTTCCTCCACAGAACATACTATTGAACCAGTCACGTGCCCATTTAATGGCAAGTACCAATGGGATTTTTTATGTGATTCTGGAAACGATACTTCAGGAGGTATATGCAATTTTCCTTTCAATTCTCATGAAGTTGACAATCAGTATCGGCAAGGGGGAAGCCTAGGTAAGTTATGGTAATAATTTATTTCTGTAAAAAACCTAGGCCCATCATACAAGAATCATACATTCACAAATAATTTAAATAATGAAATCATCTTAATTAGAGTGATACAAATTATAAGAAAAATAAGAAAGATTACTGCAAAAAGTCAAGCTATACTACACTATTAGAACATACATTGATGTCGTTGGTGGCGCACTATACAATGCCAACTCATAATACTGTCGACTTAAAGTTTATTTATAAGGGTAATATTTCTATCGATTTCGAAAACCACTGGTTGTCGTAACTGCTAGTGCACGTCCACTGACGCGCTTAGACGTTACACCCGATTAGCATAAATTAGCATATGATTCTTAAAACGAAAACAATGGTGGAAGCATATATACGTGAAAAGATTCCCCCTCGATTTAAAATGGCCAACTCTTACGGTTTTAAGGAAATAATTGACGAATATCCCTTATTTGGTGATAACTTTTTTTACTCCCTGAATTTTCTTACCAGTTATCCAATCTCTTCAAAGTTGTTCGAAGGTTTGCATCCTCAAGCAGCAACTCGCAATCAGATTCGGTCAGTTACATCCGGGTCCATATTCATAAAACCTTATCTTTGTAACCAATTAGTTTCACATGCTAGTTACACGTGGGAGGTGAAAAAAATTAACGTAAACTTAACATCACGCCCACTAGTATCTGTAAAACCCACGAACAACTAACATCGCCCACCACCCCAGCACCATTAAATCCCGTCGTTGCCTGACACCGTAAATCCCACCCACATCCGTGAATCTCGTCGTTGTCTAACACCAGCCCACCTATATCTGTAAAATTCATCAACGACTTACATCATCCCAAGTGCCATCGTTTTCCGTCATCGCCCAAAACCAAGTCTGCCAGCGCCCGTGGGTCCCATCAAAGGTTATTACCATGTTGATTTATTTGTACCCCACCGATACCGAACACCCAGCGCATTAGTGTCAGTGTCTCCCGGGGGTGTCATTTCACGTTTTTTTTTGTTTAGAAGTGGGTAGTCATTTACATACTTTTTAACAGGTCCTTATCTTTGAAAGCCAGATACGGAAAGGGCTGAATAAAATGCGTCGCTCGGATGCGCTCACTGGGTGCGAAAGTCGTGAGCTGGGTGTTTTTTTTCCGCGTCCGATGTCTCGTATCTTCAACAATTTTGGGCAATAAAGATACTTAACGCCAGTCATTTGTAGTATTTCATGTCAGTGACCCCCTCTCCCAGCTGATATAGTGTATGTGGTACGAGTTAAGCCATGTAGGTCGCTGAAAACACTTGCGTACGTGCGTGTAGAAGTGGGTATATAAATAGAAAAAAAGGTTTAGAAGTGGGTATGGCCGGTTTATGAGAAGTGTGCTGTTCACCCCTGTCCACTTAAGGTGGAAGTAGCCCCCCCCCCCGGTGGAAGTGCATCCCTTTCATCATTGTGAAACCAATTATACAATGCTGTGCTTGCACTTAATTTGACCTTTTTGTATTTATTTTTTCAGATAATGTAGTAAGTGACATTTACAAATGCGTCGCCTCATGGAAAGGTTTAAATGACGTACACTATTTTACTTTTATAAGGGAGCAGTTGTTTTCTTCTGGTGCTATGACAACCAAATTTTATTGCTATGTAAGTTCAATCAATGTTAATATTATTGATTATTATCAGTTACCATGGAGAAATATTCAACGTAATATTCAAGATCACTTATAAAAAAAATACGGATGTCAATTACCGGTATTTATGATACCTGAGTATTTGCCTTAAATCTGATTATCTCATTGTAGGGATATATAAATTATTCAGACAACCTAATAAAAGGTATTATGGAGGAATTTCGATGTCGGCCAATCTCCAGAAAACAGATTGCTGACAACTCTGGGAATATTGTATCGATACATAAAGGTAAGCTCATTTGCGTCATCGCCTTTACAAAGCCATGCATTATTCAACTATAACACAGGTTGCCCTACAATTTCAAGGTGGTCGAGATATTGCAGTTTTGTGTCAATTACAGATTTCAATTTAACAAATATTGTTGCCAACACTATAACAAAACAGTATGACTCGCTGACCACTTATACTATGTACATTCCGAACAATGGCTTCGATGTCTTGATTTTAGGTTAAAAAGCAAAATCAAATTTCAGAGAAAATATCACAATAAAGAATTGCTGATTCCAGGATAGTTTTCAGGTATACACCAGACATATAGGTATACATGATTATACACAAACGCATGCGTCGTCAAACACTGATTAGAATGTCATGTAATATGTACGGTAACACGCCTACTATGTCAGGGTGCGACGAGGATCTCAATACGACTACTAAGTCACGCACATTGCGAGATTATCACAAGATCCCAAGGCAAACATACATTTCCAGAAATATTATGCAAATTAGACAATCTAAGAAAAAAGTGGACAGTGTCATCGTTTATTTCAAAATCCTTAATTACGTGCGTTTTACATTTTTAAAAAACAGTGATAATCCGTCCATTACACTTGCATGCGCAGTAACAGGTTGACAAGAACCTTTCGTTCTCATCTGCATATAAAAAAACGACGTATTCGTATTATAGTTATTGAATATACATGTATGTGTTCTGTGTATAATAAACAGTTAGCGACATTTGTTATCAGACATTCGAACGCTGATTGACAAAAATGTAACCAAATGACGTCACTGCGATTGCCTATTGGTTAGAAAACTGTTCGATTGATGCGCATGCGGAACAGGGTCTTCAACGTAAATATACTAAAATAATTTTCATACACATATCTTTACTTTAATGAAATACGCTTATGGCACTGTTCTCGTTTTTCGATAAATGTTTATAAATTTCAACGGCAGTTAAATTTAACCAGTCATTCAAAGAGCGCAATGACGTCATGCCTTTGTTGAATGGATGGATGTGAGGTGAGCCATTCGCATGAATGGCTTCAGGTCACGTGAACATGTTGGACGGTCCCATTGTTATTCCATTGGCCAATAGAAACTTCTTGTTTTAGTTGAAATTGAAATTCATAATTATTTAGAAAAAACAACAACAAGTGAACGGGTTATTTCACAATACTGTTTAAATATTTGATAAAAAGATTCATTATATAATATCCTGTTGTGTTTGTCTATTGTTATTTTCAGTTCCGACCTCTGTGACGTCATCATCATCAGCTGCCTTGTTGACATCACATTATATTATTATGAGTGTTTTATCATGGGAAATCATCGTATGTTTCTAAATAAGGCAATTACTACGATGTGCAGCGTATGTGAAGCTCAGTATGAAAAATCGACGAAGAACAGCTTGGTCACGTGATGTCATGTGATACATAATTCTGAGTGAATTTCAATATGGCCACACATTGTAGCAAGAATTTTGCTTCCTTCGCGGCTATGGTGAGGACGCGCATGCGCATATCCGCTTAAAATCAACCAAAGTTGTGGTAATATATTTTGCAGCAATCAAAATACAGTTGGCGTCGAGTCTGAAGAGTATTTTATGAGATTTTTACACCTTTGTATATATTACACATTTTTTCCTTATTTTGTGGCCAGCTATTTTATTGTCACAGCGTTATCACTGATGCTACGAGGGAATGTCCAAGTTGTGCCTGCCATTGCGTTGCGTCGACAACAAATCAAACATATTTTCAAATTTTAATAACAACGAACATTGCCAGTTGTTCAAGTGTTACGTCACTTTATGTGTACAATATACCGTGACGTTGAAAATATGAATCGGAAATAACCAACGATCCAAGTTTTAAATTTTCGATCAAAACGTCACGAAAAAAATAAAACAAAACGTCCAACTGTTAGCTCTGGAGAATGTTTTTGAATTTCTCAAAGCTACACTTGTCCCATCACAGTGTCTCACCCCTGTGTGTCTAGCACTCATAACCATGGTCGCTAAAAGAATATACTCTGGGCGCCGTCCGTTCCACTTTCAACGTATATGTAATTTGTCGTCATCTGTCACTGTCAAATAAATGTGATCCCACATGTAGTTCACATACATAGTACCATTCTACAAGCACGCCACCAACGACAGTAATCGGTCGATCCTTGAATGGATGGCACAAAGCCCTTCTCATCTGAATTATAAGGAAACCTCGACACTGACGCACACCACATCGAGAAACCTCCACACTGACGCATACCACATCAAGAAAACCGTGACTACACACTGACGCACACCACATCGAGTAACCTACACACTGACGCACAGCACACCGATAAAACTACACAATGACGCACACCACATCGAGTAACAAACACACTGACGCACACCACATCGAGAAACCTACACACCGACGCACACCACATCGAGAAACCTACACACCAACGCACACCACATTGAGAAACCTCCACACTGACGCACACCACATCGAGAAACCTCCACACTGACGCACACCACATCTAATAACCTCCACACTGACGCACACAACATCGAGAAATCTACCCACTGACGCACACCACATCGAGAAACCTACACACTGACGCACACCACACCGAGAAACCTACAAACTGGCGTACACCACATTGAGTAAACTACACACTTTACGTACACCACATCGAGTAACCTACACACTGACGCACACCACATCGAGAAAACTACACCCTGACGCATACCACATCGAGTAAGCTCCACACTGACACACACCACATCGAGAAATCTACACACTGACACACACCACATCAAGAAACCTACAAACTGACGCACAGCACACCGATAAAACTACACACTGACGCACACCACATCGAGTAAACTACACACTGACGCACACCACATCGAGAAACCTACACACTGACGCACACCACATCGAGAAACCTACACACCGACGCACACCGTACCGATAAAAATACACACCGACGCACACCACATCGAGAAACCTCCACACTGACGCACACCACATCGAGAAACCTCCACACTGACGCATACCACATCAAGAACACCGTGACTACACACTGACGCACACCACATCGAGAAACCTCCACACTGACGCACACCACATCGAGAAACCTACACATTGACGCACACCACACCGAGAAACCTACAAACTGACGAACACCACATCGAGAAATCTACACACTGACGCACACTACATCGAGAAACCTACACACTGACGCACACGACACCGAGTAACATACACACCGACGTATACCACATCGACTAAACTACACACTGACACACACTACATCGAGAAACCTACACACCGACGCATACCACATCGAGTAAACTACACACCGACGCACACCACATCGAGAAACCTACACACCGACGCATACCACATGGAGAAACCTACAAACTGACGCACACCACACCGAGAACCTCTGCCTTGACTCACACCACCCATATGTGACTAACACTCGTTATTTTCTGTATTCGAAATCAGATTGTATATCAACCTGGTTGAAATAAGATATATTGTATACGCATTTATGTATACTTATTCACATGACTTTATTTAATTTATATATATATATATATATATTGTCTGATGATTGCGAAAGCCACACGTGCAGGTGACCGGCACATGTTTTAAAATTCAAAACTGTCTTACACTTATATTATTGGTCAGCTTGTGTGTATATTTAATGTTCATTCATCCACGATACTTAAATTCGTGCAATTGTTTTATTCAAACAATATAAAATACCTTGCTCACCGATGTTTTTTTATAATAATTATTTTGTTTACATAAAATACTGCTTGATAATTAAATTTTGTATTGAATACTTCTAGGCTATGTTTGTGTCTGTAATACGTTAACGTCGTGGGAACGTACTACCTCTCCAGTTTCACTCAAGAGACC